ACAGCTGGTTAGTAAACTTTGCCATGCTTTAATGCACTTTTTTGTTGTTTTTGTTGAGCTAGTCTAAATTGATACTCTAAAGGAAATTAGTCAGTAAGTCAGTGGCGCCATCTTCTGGTATAATATCCACTCTGTTCTGTCCTTATGTTTGTTTTTCCCAGCTAGATTTTATTTGTGCATCCTGCTATTTTTCTATTGGAGCATCCAGTGAATAAAATGATATAATATTTATCCTATTTGTGACACGTGCACTTTGAGATAGGGTTTATTTATTTCAACATCATCATTTATGATGCTGATGTATAATGTTCAAAAATGTCTGCTTTAGCTATTGTCATATCTGGTTAAATAAACTAAAGTATTGTTTTTTTAAAATCATCTGTAGAATCAGACAAAAGAAGGTGATGCAACAATTAAAACCAAAAGCAGCTCATCTCCTCCTAGTAGCAGGCTACAGAATATGTTGTAGGCCCAGCCCCCTTATTGTAATAGAACATGTGTGACTTCAGACTGGGATTATATACAAATATATACTAACTTTAATTGAGTTTTATCTAAAAAAAAGTATACTGAACAATTTTATAAAGTTGATGACGTACAACTCAAAGCATTCAATGATGGTTTTGAGGTCTGTATGTTTGGGACTCTTAAAAAGGAGCCAAAATATAGTGTCACTTATAAAATGCTTCATTACTGTTTCATTATGACTTTTCAAGCCAATCTATTTCAACTCAGATGTGTGTGTGTATATATATATATATATATATATATATATATATATATATATATATATATATATATATATATATATATATATATATATATATATACTGCCAAACAAAGACTCCAAGCCTTGGCCAGCTCTCTAAGGAGAAACAAGAAAAAAAGGGAAGGCAGACGAATAAACAGGCTCTTCTCGACCCAACCAGTTAAAGTGTACTCTCAGTGGCATGGTAATAACAGCAAAGCAGACCCACCAATGCTGGAGACCGAACAGTACTGGAAGGGCATTTGGGAGAAGGAGGCATCCCAAAACAGCAATGCAAATTGGCTAGCATCATGATCCACGCCTACTGGCTAAAGAAGCTCACTGCATTCCATGAGCACCAGGCTGGCGGCACAAATGAACCAGCTGCTAAAGGATGGGACTCAATGGCTACCTGAAGGGCGCACAATCTTCATCCTGAAGGATCCCTCCAAGGGTACAGTCCCATCCAACTGTCGGCCAATAACCTGCCTCTCCACAACATGGAAGCTCATGTCATAGCGACTAAGATAAGTGGGCACATGGATCAGTACACGATCACAGCACAGAAGGGCATCACAGAGACACCAGAGGAGCCAAACACCAGCTGCTGATGGACCAAACAGTCGCTCAAGACTACAAAGCCCAACACACCAACCTGTGTGTGGCCTATGACTCAGTGCTGCAGTCATGGATCATTGAATGCTTTGAGTTGTACGTCATCAACAGGACTCTGAGAGCGTTCATTGCTAACTCAATGAAGCTGTGGAAAAACCACTCTTGAGGCCAATTGCAAACCAATTGCACAAGTCTCCATCAAAGGTGGCATATACCAAGGAGACACACTGTCCCCACTGCTGTTCTACACAGGCCCGAACCCCCCTCAACCAAATAATCAACAAGACTGGTGTTATGGCTGGTGCCATTTATGTTTTTACTTCATTTCTTACTCCTCTGTTTTTATCCCTCTTGTGTGAGAGGAGCTGTTTTGCAGCACCTGGCTTCTCCCATGCCTGTCCGGCTCCACTCTGAAGTCCCAGCTGGTGGCAATGACAATCAGCAGCTGAATGAGGACTCACTGCATAAAAGTCACCCAGCCCTCACCATCAGGGAGCAACAGGCTGGACATGTGGTCTCTGTCCTGGTGGCTCCTTGGCATGCTTTTGTTTTAATCTTTTTTAGCCAATTTGTGTCTTTCATGTGCAGGGGGTTCCCTGATATAAACATTAATTTGGTGTGCAGGGGTTTCCCTGATTCATAGTTATATTGGCTAAGTAGAGTTTATTTTGTTTTACCATTTTAGTTGCTGCCGATTAGTCCAGTTGTGTTTATTAATTTTCCTTGGTGTAAATAAATATAAGTTGACTTTTAAACACCAGAGCATGTGTCCTCCTTGTTACCCCAGGTCCCCTAGACAGCCTGGAGCGTAACAACTGGCAATACCGACTCAAGAATGGAACCACAATCACCCACCTCCTCTACATGGATGACATAAAGTGTATGCCAAGAACAAGCGAGACATGGACTCACTGATCCACACCACCAGGATCTACAGCACTGACATTGGAATGTTTATGTTTATTTATTTGGCAGACACTTTTATCCAAAGCGACTTACAATTTATAACCTATAGGGCATGTTGTGATCTGTGGGGGAAACCGGAGTACCTGGAGAAAACCCACGCATGCATGGGGAGAACACGCAACTCCACGCAGAAAGACCGCGGCCGAGTTTCGAACCTGCAACCTTCGTGCT